TAGAAGATCTAAGTGTGGATGTCTTGAGGGGCGAAGCAGATCAAGTTGGCACATTCCACTAGTACATGCAGTGGCACATCCACTAGCTCTGCAGCACAACAATCAAGTAAAGGTATTCCACAACTTCTATATGCTATTACATTACATTTATGTCAAGTGAGCAATGAACATGAATACATGTGATAATGATCTTTTATCTTAATTAACAAGGAAGAGAAAAGTGGAGTCATGTTGAAGATGAAGATGAATGGCATTCATAGATACAATTGGAGAAGAAGATTCACTTGAAGACCCATTTAGATGATGGGATATGATTTCATTTTTATATGTTTTTTTGTATTTGGGGAGTTTTGTTAAACTAAATTTTTGATTTTGTACTTTGGGCATGTTTTATTGCATCTACTTTCTTATTTTTCACTAATTGCTATTATTTTCCTGCTAAAACCCTTAATTTTTCATTTACGCAATTCTGTGTTCGCTGAGGTTACGCCTCAGACCGCCTCGAGGTTACGCCTCGCCTCACGGACGAAAACCGCCTCGAGGCGCAGTTACGCAATTGTTAAACCTTGACCTTGATCACTCACACTCGAAGTGGCCTTAGCAGAAGAAAGGTCTTTAGCATACCCAACGATGCCACGAGGACGGGAGCAACCCCAACCGAGCCTTGAACCACAGAAAGGTTGACGTGGTGAGGATTGCGGAGTGGTTGACTTGTTGATGCTGCAAATCGTAGTTTGGAAGTTGACGATCGATGACGCTCGCAAGAGTAGGACAACTCGATCCAAAATAATCTTCTCAACGTGGCGTCGTGCTCAAATCCCAAGTCGAAGAAACGGAGATCGTAAGATGTTGAGATTTCCCGTCGCTCGAACACAAGTCCCCATTCAAGTTCGGGATCCGCCCATTCAACATTGAAGTGGAGATGGCGGAGGCGTCGTCTTCTTCTTCCTCTTGGCTTCAAAGTTCCACGAGGAGGGAGTAGGAGAGAGGGTGGTGGGAGAAGAGGGAAGAGATGGGCGACGGTTCAAGAGGAAGGGCCTATGTTTGAGGAAGGTGAATTAGGTTTAGTGTGGGTGGACTTTAATAAAAAAAAATCTGAAATAATTTCAGATTTAAGTCAAATTTGGAGGGATAACAATTTGGGATTTGAATTTCAAAACCTAATGGGTCCATGCCATAAAGTGCATTTAATGGGAAATTAATCCCAAGCAAGGCCGGCGGACATAGAGAGGGGAGGAAGGGAATTAATTTCAACAATCCTGAAATATTTTCAGGATTAAGTAGTAAATTGGGAGGGAAAGTTATCTGAAATCAATTTTAATTTCAAATCGGATGGGGCATTAAATGAGCAATTCAATGGGGGGAAAAACCCTCATGGGGCCGGCGACATGGTGAGAGGGGAGAGGGTGATGTGGGGAGTTACAAGGTTTCTAAAATAGAGAGTTCCAATTTAGGGTGAAAATAAAGTTATCCAATCTAATTTGAAATTAGATTGAATGACATTTCAGACTTTCCTAATATGATGTTTGACAAATTTGGAAAGTTTGGAACTCAAACAATTTTGAAATTTCAAATTTTGAACACGTGGGGGAAAATGGGGGAAGTGGCCGATGGTGGGTGGTTGGGGAGGAGGTGGTGGAGGAGGGGCCGGCGGCTAAGGGAGAGGCCACCGGTTGATTCCTTAAGAAGTCGTCGAGATGGCGTTGGGGCATGACTTGAAAATAAGCGGAGTGGGGATTAGGTGTTAGGTGAGGATGAAGGAAGCACAAACAAGATAAGACAACTTAACCACAAGCCGCGGACTCTTCTAACGACTGGTGGGCCTTGCGATTGCTCCCCTTGAGCTCTCTCCCTTCTCTAGCTCTCATGCGAGAAGAAGTAGAAACAACATAGAAATTTCATTCAAATATTCATTACCCTTTTACAAAGCATAAGACCGCTATATAGGTCTCAAACACAAAGAAAAGAAAAGTACTCAAATGCCCTCTGGGCTACAATAAGAAAACACTCGCCATAGGGGTAAACTAGGAAACTGAAATGCAAACTAAATAAAACATAAAATATATCAAAAGTAAAGACTCTGGATCGTAGCCGTCGATCTGCGCTGTCTCCGGCGATACACATGCTTGAACCTCTGATCGATGTCCTCATCACAATTGGTATAACCTTAAAAATGTTCATGGAGCTTATGAGTTATAAAGTTGGCAAAATCAGACATATTTGAAATTAGAAGCCACGTTCAAACAATTAGCATGCTCAACCATGGCTTCTTTGGCATATAATCTTATGAGAAGTTCATTTGATCTGACACTAATTTCAAGCCAATAACAATACTATTAGAAGTAAAGAGGGTCATGTCATTGATTTGTCTCATGAAAATGTTTGATGTGAGCTAGCCATCATATATGTAAAAGTGTCTCATATTTGTCGAAGTTTCCATCATATCTAATCATGCTATATAGGAAGAATCTTGAGACAATTGTTGATCCCCAGCTTCACGCTTCAGGATATTTCAAATATATTTACCCCACTTTAGGTGCTTGTATAAGATGCTTCAAAAGTTTATGTCATCCAATATTAAGTTTGAATGAAACATTTTTTAATTGAAGATGTGGAGGTACCTTACTTGTGGCATTAGCCCAAGATGCTAATATTTAAATTTTTTCAGTGATACTTGTAATTGTTGATTAATAAATAATGATTCTTGGATGTATTACATGAGAAGATTGAGGGAATCAATAGGATTGGTGGATAACTTAATTTTTTTTCTTTGATAGACATAACAATATTGCTAATGCTTTATCTAGAATATTTTTAGTGGTCATCATGGTGCTTGCCCTCATCATATTGTTATGAATATTGTATTATTCAAAATTAATAGTTTTCATGAGAAGTATTACTTCGCTTCCAAAGCTTATAAAATAGTTGAGTTATATTGACATTTTGACAACCTATGGATGAATAGCCTTGTTATAGCTACCTACTTGGAGAATGATGTTAGCTTTGTGAGGTTGATTAGAATTTTTTTTTTCTTTAGAACCCATACAAGACAATTTGTATTTTAGAGAGCTTTAATAAAGTTACTAAGAGTTCACGTTCTTATGCAATGCCATTTTGTTGAATTTCTTGAGGCATACAATTTAGAAAATTTTCTTTAGTAGGCATTTCATTGCAGTAAATACAAAATTATTTTGGCTAAAGAAATTGAAGAAGTATTTAACAAGCCCTTGAATAAGGCTCAAACATTAATTCTTTATATGATTAGCCAATTTGAATTATATGACTTGGATGGGAATATTAATGATGTCCTTGATTTGTGTTAAGAGGATATGCACTCTTAGAAAGTTTGGTGTCATAGACCTCTCATGCAAACATGCATTGTTGTAGCTCGAGATCGGTGTATCATCTATCACTGCTCATATTAAAAAAAATACACGTAAGAGCTTGGTGGGGTCTATACGCCAAAAATATATCTCTGGTGAAAATGCGAAACCTCGGGATTTCATATGTAATAGAAAGCTTTTTGTTCTACTCCAAATTATGAAGCCAAAGAGTGTCATTCCAAAGAAGAATTGAAGGCCTTCAAATGAGTAGAAGGATGCGGTATAACATATGTACATCCATTGTGAGGTTAAAGGCCATAATTGAGTTACTTGTAGGGTTAAGTACCTACCACCTTTATGACATATTTTACTCTCTTTTTTTTGTCATGGTTGTAATATTTTACTTGTATTTGATGTTACAATGCTTTTTTTCCTCCTCTGTGTAATGTGATCTGATGAGTGGTTCTATTTAATACAATTTATATAATAATGTCGCTGATTAGTTCTACTCAATGCTCATATGCTTATCATTGTGATGATATGTTGCATATGTTAAACACTTAAAGATCCAAACTATTGCAATACCTTGTTTGAACTTGGCTAGAAAAGTTTAAACACTGCTCGAATGATTAAAATCAAACTATTTTGAACCTGGTTAGAATAGTTTTCAAACTTGATTATATTTTTGCTCAAATATCCCTTTTAGAACTTTGTTCGGACTCGATTCGTAACTGGTTTAAATTTTTCTTGGATCTTGCTAGGTCCTAACTCGAACATTGCACACACATTCTTTGATTAGTTTCAAACATTGGTCAAAAAATTTTATTAACCACATTCAAATCATATTTGAACAAAAGTTTGAACTAATATTTGAATGTGAACTAGTTTGAACTATTTTCATTCACGAGTAACTTCAATAAGTTTTCTGAGCATACCAAAGGGGTATTTTAGTCTGAAACAAAATTTCCTGCATGTTTCTCCAAAAAAACAAGAACAAGATGGAGATATTTCTCTATTTATGCCTATTATTGGGTATATTTATATGTGAAGTTATTGCAAAAATTTCAGTACTGCCATCAAGTAATTTAGTTTAATTGCTAAAGCATATTGATTTGCCATTTTTCTGAGGAGCTTCTATGTGGCTATATAAGACGAGGTGGAGTTAAATTTAAATTTGAGCAATTTTGCAAACTTTCATGGTTTTGATGCAATTTTTTTTAAATGGGCTATTATTTTAATTGATTGTAGCTTTCATGACTCATATTGGGCTCACTTGTAGTTGTAACTGATTCCTTCTACATCTTATTTTTATCAGTAGGTTTAATCAATTATTGTAAGGATAATTTGTTCTATCTTAGAAATAACTTAGCATATTTTCTGAACTCTGTTTTTAATTTAGTTATATTTCTTATGAAAAAAAATTGTAAGTATGTGAAGTTTTGTGACTTGGGGATTTTTGCTTATTTTAATTTATTGGCACTACTTATTGGCGATTCATTGTTCTTCTCACTTTGATTTTTGGAATCTTAGTAGAAATTCTTTCAGAAGTTATGCTCACCTTTTGGTTGATGTGGTTTCAAAATTTGAAAAATCAACTTTTACTCTCTTCTCACTTATATGAAACTTGATCCATCTAATTTTTTTGTGTTTTGCCAACTATCAACCTTCTTTTTCAAGGACAAAGTACCAGAAGATAGTCGAAGCTTCACATAATAAGGGAAGTGGCTTAAAGGGTGTTCAAAATTGCATAAGATCTGATAACTTTGTCATTACTTTTGAGGTTGAGGAAGACAAGTACGAAATCATGTATAGTCTATATTTTTTTATGGTTTCAGAAGCTTTTTGCAGTTGTTTTCAACGTATCTAAAATTATTCCAGGTTTCCTTTCTTTGGAAAGAAGTACATGCTAAAGTTTGCTAATGATATTATATCCGAGACTCATTGCTTGGTGCATTTTCCAAGCTTAATCAGGTTGTCATTGAACATTGAATTTTGTAACAATTTAGAAAATTTCGATTCCAAAAACATTTATTAGTTTGTGATGTTGAATCAGGTTAGCTAGGGAAGCTGGTCTGGATTATGTGGAGATACAAAACCTGGCTGAGTTTTATGATGATAACAGGTAACAATCCCGTGAATTCAAATCTTGATTCTGTGCCTCTATAAAAAAAGGTTAACTCGTTTGTCATTATGAGCAAAAATTCACAAGAGAAGAAAGCAAAGTTTTAAACATTATTGTCACGTCCAGAATTTCAATCTTTACGTGCGGACATGAGCAATGAGTTTGATGCCTCTTTTGAAGGTTAAAATTGAAAGTAGTTTTTTCAATCTCAAATAAAGTTTTCATTATATTTTCCAGAGCCCTTATGTAAAAAAAAAAGAAGTAAAAAAGAAAAGAAAACAGAAGACCCTCTAAAAGCTATGTTCAACGATGACTTTGTACTTCTTTCTATCCTATTTCTCAATTTATTGGGGTTTAGACTAGTTCTATAGGCAACATAATGAGAAAGAGAAAAAGTTGTGAAAAGTTGCTACTTTGATGGAGGGAAGCAGAGAAGTATAGATCTTTGGTCATTTAAAAGGCCGAGTGGGTCAGTCAGATTTAAAATTTTGAGTTCATGATTATATATATATATATATTGAAATATCAAGTCGAGGCATCATGATGTAACCGTTTTGTCATCTCCCTTATTCTTTTTTGTTTTTACCAGAAGGAAATAACATAATTTCTTCCGTTCATTTTCTTTTGGCTTTTTTTGCTCTAGGTTGATGATTTAATTTAGGGCCTCGTCTTCTTACTCTTCTTTTTACTTTGCAAAGGGTAGCAAATTGCTCCTTTCTACTATTCTTCCTCTGAAACTAGGTTCTTTATTTTGCATGTTTTTTATACTATTTTTGGCAAATACAATCTTTAGAGTGTCTTTATTATTTTATGGTTTTGGTTTATACTAGTTAGGTTGCATGTGCACCAAGTACATATTTTAGTGCCATTTTGTTTTTTGTAAAGTTGATGGTGATGCAACAAGGCCAAGTGAGTGTTTGCTTTCTATTGAAAAATAGGCCTATCAAAGAATAGAATTATCCCGCCTTGTATCCATGTAGATTGAACTAGATTAATCATCTTCAGAGAAAATTTTAATAAATTTTGCTCAAATCTTTTATTAGTGATTCCCTAATACTTAAGGTTAATGGTAAGATGCATTATTGATTTTGAAGGTTAATAAAGCTAAAATAGTTGAAGCTTGCAACATTCCCCTTGTTTAGACACATAGTAGTAGAAACAATATTTTTGAATCGAATATGACTCTAGTTAGATGCATCTTCTATTTTATCTGCTCATTTTAACTCTGCATCTTCTATCCTCCTTTATATGCCGTCAAACTACTTAAACATATTTTTCAATTTATCTTCAGTGGGCACAATATTAACTCCTGTTACCATTAAGTACTTTTTTTTCTTAATCTATTATGCTCAAATTGGCTTTCAATAACTTAATTATTGCTCAACACTAGGATTCATATAGTTGATCTAATTGTAGTTTAATAAAATTTATATTTAAACCCTTACTCTTATCACACAAATATGTCTAATGAACTCTTCGATTTTAATCAGCAAACATCAACTTTAGAAGTTTTACTTCATCTGCATGCTCGATCTTTTGTATAGTGGAACCAAGATGCCTTAATCTATCTCACCTAAGTTTCACTTAATCTTTTAGCTATATTGACTCATAATTATCAAGGTCTACTAGTACTAAACTCTTTATCTTGTAAATAGTTCCTTCATTGAATTAGCTTTTCAATGCCAGGTTTTATCTCACAATCAATTAGAAGTATGTCATATGCTAATATTTTTTACTTAGATACCTCTTATTGAATATTCTATAAGGATCTACAGGGTTAATTAAAAAATTAAAGAGCTATACTTAATTGATAATTCTATTATTATTGGGAACTCTTTAGTCATTCCATAATTTCTTGTTCTACTAGTCAACTACACACACACACACACATATATATATATATATTGACACAACTTTTTTTACTCAGCACTAAATTAGTTCTAATGGTATTTGATCACATTTACTCTCAAGATAATAAAATCAATATTTGAAACATTCTTTCGCATTTATCCTCTTTTTTGCAAAAATCTTTTTCGTTTTGGATCTTTCTAATTTATTTCCATAATTAGGGAGAGAGAGAGAGAGAGAGAGAGAGAGAGAGAGAGAGAGAGAGGGGAACTTATTGCATGACTTATAGGTTTGAAGTAACTTAGTGCTCATTAATATTTGATTTTTAATCCATGAGAAATTAATCAATCTCTTTATGTTGTAACCTACATTTCTGTGATATAGACACTATCATATAGATGTTAACAGTGACATGGCCTGGGATTGCTGACCCCACGCCTATGTATCTTGCGATTATCACTTCTAAAATTCAAAGAACAAATTCAATTTATCTCGCAATTATCAGTTTCAAACGTTCATGCACAATGGATGGAATGTAAATTTATTCTTCTCCTTCATATTCGACCATTATTCTACCACAATCTGAGCTCTGCAAAAACATAAATTCATACATTATCTGGCACAACAATGGATATTCATAAAACAAAATTATTTCAAACTCCCCAGAGATTATATTGTAATTCTATAACTCATACTTTCTCAGAATAAGATGCAAAATTATTTAAACTTTGGCCGCAATATATTTTACGAGAAATATCAGCATTATGGCGTTTCCATTGGAAGTATTGATGCTAAAAATCTGTAAGTCTAGGGTATAGTCTTTTTTTCTCATTGAACAAACAGATTCAGGTTGTACTTGGTTTGTGAGGATTTAAGGCATATAGTCTTCAAGTCTTTTTGGTCATAACTTTGTGTTAAAATCAGCTTTTATCCTTAAAAGGAGCTCACTTGAAAAACATTTTGTTAACAAATAAAGAGTAAAATTTAGTAAATAGTTGTTTGGTATGAATATTATTCTATTTTTGTTTTAATTTTATTTGTCTTGATTTGAAATAAAAATGTGTTTGATCTCTTAGGAATTAATTAAAAAAATACTAAATACTCATCTATATTATGCTTCTCTCTCTCTCTCTCTCTCTCTCTCTCTCTCTCTCTCTTTTTGCTTACTTTTTTCTTGTTAGCATTAGCACCCTTTTCACTACCCAAAGCAGCAACTACTTTTCCTTCTTTCTCATTTTGTTCACTCTTTATCCATCTTGTTAGGGTACTGATCAATTAGAAATTGACCCTGTTTTCACCATCAATATCTTTTCTTATTTTTGTTGATATCGCTTTCCTAATTAACAATTAAAATGGTGATTGTTAGAGCGCTGGCCCTTGAATTAGATCTGGTCTGGCTAGTCTCATTGTTGCTTGATGACTCCATGTCTACGTCGATGATCTTCTTATTGACAAGGTCCGCAATCTCCTCAACCTTCTCAACAAGCTTGATGAGGTAGTTCATGGGGTTCTATGTTGCACCGATACGGATACGACACGATACGGATACGGGACACGTCAATTATTAAAAATATAGGATACGGGTATGGCGCGGACACGACATTATAATTTATAAATCATACATAAAAATTAAGAAAGCAATCAAAGCATAATATTTGAAATTACAAAAAAAAAAACAACAACAACATCATTTGTAACCTTGTAGCTTATAATATCAAAATATAAGAAAGCATTAAATGTCTAGTACAACAACAAAAGCATAAACATAAATTATCTAACACATGAAGTTTCAACTATTCAATAGAAGGAATGATATGATTAACTTCTTCATGGGTTTGTCTTTGAACTTCTATATCATCTTCAATAAATATCATAGCTTCTAATTCAGGCCCATCAAGTGAAAGATTAGTAATTTCTACTATTCTCATATCATCAAGAGACTCAAATCTATCTCGGAAATGAGAGAATCTTGCTCGTAGCCCCGGAAGTAAATATGATGCATCTTTTTTTTTTTTTTGATTTCTTTTTATTTTTCAACAGACACGCGTATCCTCATCAAGTGAAAGATTAGTAATTTCTACTTTTGAAACTAAATAGTATTTTAATTGGATAC